CCCCAAAACCCCAAAACCCCAAAACCCCAAAACCCCAATTTGTATTCTCACAATTGAAAGATAAATTATAGAAAATGGGTAAGTCAATGCAGATTCCATGAAGCCAATGTTTAGGACAGAGAGTGAAGGAAACCCATTTATCAAAAGGGAAGGGGGCCACTGTCTGGGCTTACTTTCGCAGAATATTCAATCATAGCTATATTTTAATCATGATACTTAGTTTTCATAGCGAATTAATAAGAATAATTCGTTAGGCCCCTATTCTAAATTTCCAAAGTTTTATCCAAATTTGAAATTGAAGATGCTGATGCAAGCTAATTGGTGTTTGAGCATGCTATTTACTCTTCCAATCCCAATTTTCAACCAATGCTTGTATTGAAGATATACAAGTACACAACAAGATCGGGTTACGCTCTTGTAACTACAAATTTCTTGAAACCCCATTCTGATACCTTGGAGCTGACTATAGTTATAGAAATTGACTACTCCAGTGCATGAATCCCCAAAGTGATAATCCAAAAGGCCTTGCCAGGCATAAAGCACTTGGAATTACCACTGAACTCACATAAGAGACTTGATAGAGCCAAGCTCCTCCAGAAATATTCAGAAGGCCAACACATTGGAGGTACGTCATCCCTATAAGTCTTGTTGCACAATTTCCAATAAGTTTTTGAATCTTCCTAATAGCAATATTGTGTTTTGGGAGAAAAATATCATTTAGGACTCAAGAAGCCATGCAGAAGGAACTTACAGCGCAAGATAAAGAATTCACCCCTCAAGTTACATATGGAGAGGAACAGAAGTAAGTCATGCCTAAGAATACCTCTCATGGAATCTTGCCAGAAAGAGCCTTGCTAGATTCATGTTTGAAGCATCCATAAACTGAATCTTTTGTTAATATTATTAACACCTGTTTGGTTAATACACACCTGCTCATAGCAATAAATAACTTGAGATGGCCCTCATCCCTCTTTAAATGATATATACAACTAAAGGATCATGACTAGTATTCTCCAGATTATGCTCACAAATAAATCATCAAAATCTTTATTTTCCTGACCCCATTAAACTGCTATTTATAGAGCTCCTCAAGAAGAACCAGTCTAAACTCGTTCTCAAAAGAGGTGAGAGGATCCTGCCTAAAATCTTCACTCCAGACATGAAGAAGAAGACTCGAAAAGTAAGCCAAAGAGACAGAGACCTCGTCTCGGTCTCTTTGGACTACAATAATGAAGCACAGGAGTAGGTACCCCTACTAACTTGCTTAGGCATAGCCAGTCTTTCTGCAACCAATATGTCGCAGAGAAGATCAACTCTTCCTTCTCAACAGAGAGAGGCAAGAACAATGTGAACATCTCCTTTACAAGTTTCATGCAGCAGTCTGAAAATCTCTTCAAAAAGAGGAAAGTCTCACGGAGACCCGTGAAGACTCCTCACTTGAGCTTTCTGAAGGAATTTTTGAGCCTGAATTCCCGAAACAAGAAAGGAGTTGGTACTACTCAGACTTGTAAGGCTGTGAAAAGCAGACCTTACAAGTACAGAATAGTGAACCCTCCGGAATGAATTAAGGTATTTCTCTCAAAAATTCCCTCTTGTGCCAAATCCATAAAGTGATTAGGCTAGTCATAGATATCTTGAAGCATTCATAGTGAATTCATAGCTGTTCTTTGGCCTTTGCGTTAAGAAAAGGTCATGAAACGACTACTATAGAGTAGACTTACTGATGTCTCCAAAACTTTCTTCTAAAACTTAGCAGGAATTAGTAATGGAGATACATTTTGTGTCAATTTTCTCATCTTAGCCACTCCAAACATAGAGTCGTCTAAATAAATTACATAGGGATCACTCACAAATAAGAAGATAAGCAGGAGAGAGTTCCCATTCCACAAGAGCCATGCTGGCTCAGTTCAGACCTCCCACCTTACAGAGGTAGATCATAAGAACATCAGCTTCAAAGGCTTGTTCCGGTACCACAAGAGGATCTAGCTATCTGGCCAAAAATGGAAATTAAGACTCAGAATTAAGTATCTTCAATTCAGAAGTCTAGTATTGGGGTTTTGGGGTTTTGGGGTTTTGGGGTTTTGGGG